AGAGTTGAATACACAAACGATTATTGCGATTTGCGGGGAGCTACTTCTTTAGCGACCTACTGCTTTGATAAGTTATTTTGAGACATGCTGTATCTTATGGATCTGAATAGCGCCCTACACCTGTTCACATAACTGAATGAGTCAGTCAGAAAAACCAAAATATGCACACTACGGGCCGATTCCTGAAAGGAATAGCTTGGACGCATTCTATCCACTAACAATGCAACTGATAGCGCGCCTCCTGCCCTCTGATCTTGAACCCTAGAACGCTGGAAGCATTCCTCACAACAGTGCTGAGCCATTGGCAAAAAGCTTCGCCCCAGACGGGGCCTGAACCCGCACCTCTCCTACGGAGCAATTTTGCTACCAGTCACTACCGACGCACCATTTCACCTTAACTCGCCTAAAATCTTTCGGTACAGTCAAAAGCCCCTCCTCACATTTTAGACCGCTCTTTGGACAGAGTTGCAAAGATTGCTGGGGATGTTTTACTTCTACTTGAACAATGTAACAAACAGGTGCTGCCCTTTGGGTTGGAAACTTTGCTTTTTCTTTGGTACATCCTTCGGAACAACAAACATGCAGTCGTTGAACTCACATAGCCTGAGCGAAAGCTTTTTGATGAGAATGTCCTCTGAAAGACGTTCTTCTTGATCTCCTCCTCAGTCATGAAATCTTCGTTAGATCTAAACATCGGAATGAGCCAACAGGTAACTGTTACCGTACGTAGGTAACCGGGTATCCAAAAGGCTACAGAACGAATCAGCAAAGAAATCAGGCAAACAAAGATAAAAAATGAAAAAAAGAAAAGAAAGAAGAAGTATGAAAGCTACCTCGGTTTCTTATTCTCGAGCGTTCCAACCACTGCCAGTTCGACTATGGATAAGAAAATGTATCCGACACAGCCGAACATGAACAGATCCAAACCTTTCACATAAGAAACCTGAAAAGTTCAAAAATTTACTTCAAAAAGCGCCTCAAAAGTGTTGGCCGTTTCAATTAATTTATCAGTGAAAGTGAAATAGACCTGGAATATGGGATTGTTCAAGAAAATGAATACATGGCGAAGGTGGCACAGTTATCGAAACTGCTGCTCAGTAGAAAGGTATACGGAGATTTGTCGACTTGTTAAGTATCCAACTGACACAACTTAGCGCTGGTTATTACTTTAGCTCCCAACTATAAACCTGTGGCAGGACGTAAATTCGACGGTCTGTGTTCCAGAGTGAATAAATCGGTGAAACTCCAGTTCGGGGGGGCCACTCCATTTTTTCTCCAATACTCAAGATAAGGATTAGAGGGCTCACGACACGTAATCGACTCATTTAAAGTAGACTTCTGATAAATATTGGTGTAATGGGTGAGAAACCCTGAAACGTTTTCACATTTCCGCCTGCCATGACCCAAGGGAACGGTCCTGGACCAGGAGAAAGGACACCTCCGCAAAGGGCTAAGGGTGCAGGAGCTCCAGGGTGGATCACCTGTGCAGAAAAGTGGATGGGATGTGGGCAGGTAGTGTGGAATGTAGGACATCCACCGGTCCTTATCAAAAGTACGCTCGAAATGAGTCGTTCACTTATTATCTTATCCGTAGTGTTCGATAGCCCAAAGAACTGCTCTCTAGTACTACGGATAAGATAGCAATGGAGTGGCCCCCCGAACTGGAGTTTCACCTCAAATTTAATTAAAATTTTCTCCTGTCTGATCTACTACTATTCAAAGTCTCTCGCTATCCGCCAGTGCAACAATTTCTCACTCTAGAAGGGACTACTTCTTGACCCTAATCCCGACTCCTGGCTTTTAGCAAGTGTTTCCCCAGATATTGCTTCCAATTAGTTGTAGCCATCTTGAATAGGACAATAAAATACCTATGCTTCTGCTAATATCTGAACTAAATTTGGGCCCGATGCCCACGTTCTTAAGCATTTTGACTATTCGGATTTGGGACTGCCAGCCAGAAAGGCGGCGTCATGCAGTAGCGCCTCCGGGGAACTATGGCCCTACTTCATCTACATACTATGCGCGGAAACATCAAGTTTTGATGGAAGCGGCAACATTGCATCAGCTAACTGGGACTAGGAGAGGGTTCCGTAGGCCTGCGATAGGCCTGATCTGGAGAGTCCCCACGTGATGTGTGGGGAGGCACATGGTTTTTTTGAGCTTCGGTATTATAACTATGAGCCGAATAAAAAAGCAGGCGTCAGTTTAATCGTTCCAGGAGCAAGTTTCTTTGAAGATACCCAAAAATCGGACGCGTAGAAGAATTGGAAAGGGGAGTTCCACGTGTCTTACCAGCGGAGTTTAAATCTAAAGCGGTGAGTCCGTTAACCTTCGCCGAGTTTAACCTCTGACCCTGGATTTTTGGTCCGGTGGAAAAATCTTTTTTTGCCATTGTTACTGATTGTTACCTTTAAAGAACAACACGACTAAATTGAAAACCTTATGACGCCTGTAAATACTTACCTTCGGTAAACTTCGGGCTACATTACTATACTGTAAAGTGAGCGCCATAAGTGAAGAAGACACCAAGGGTCACTCTGGCCGGCAAACTTTTGCGATCTAGCCAGAATGATATCCAACTGATCAAAACCTAAAAGGAACTTGTTAGCGATCAGTAAATTAAGCAAAGAGGAGGAATTCAAGAAAATCTTACCATACAGTAAGTAGGGAGATATATTTGAAGAATATAGAACCCGTATGATCGACGAAAGAACAGCTTTATATTTAGCTGAAAATTACATCGATTGCGACACTAATCCCAATTCTGAGTATGTACCTATGTCTTGAGACAAAAGTATCGAGATTTGAAAACGAATAAGTTCCACTGAAATAAGGTCACCCTAATGCCCTTACCTGATCCCATACTCCTGCAGGATATTGAAAAGTCGCTTTTTCGTGTATAAATGTGGTCATGTGAAAATCAGGCAGTTTCACTTCGTCTATAAACTCAACCGGTTGGCCTTGCCGTTTCCAATGAAGCCGCACCTTAAAAGTTTCTTATTATTTCAACTCAGGGAGTCTCAGTGAAATTGAGGTAGAACAGCGTGATCGAAAATCGAAGGTACAAAAAGGATGAAGCGCGCAGTGTTGATCAACCACTCTGAATGTTCTGAATGGAATGTATGTCCGTTCTGAATGGAAGTTATGGTGCATGGCGCATTTTTGATAGCGCCAGTGCACCATACTTTCCATTTCAGACCGTGTTGCGTTATTTTGGCGGGCAACTTTGACAATGCAATTCTGTGGAGAACCGCGATGTCAGTCACTATTTTTATGTTTCCCAACTGATTCTAGTAAGACTTAACGACCCATGGTATGAAGAACTTGGGAGTGCAGGATTATGATGCCCGGACCGCGCTCGTGTAATGAGCAGCGCCACCTAGCCCAACCACTTCCGCTTAAAGCGTAAGAGGAGTAAGGGTGATCCATCTTTGCCATGAATGTTTTTTTTTTATCATTCCAATGCGCGCACTTTAAAAGGGTGCTAATTGGCAAGAGATAAACGTCCGACTGATCGCCGGGAATGCATAATGGCCCACATGAGTTGGGCGTCCTTCTGAATACTTCCGCGCCACAGAATGACAATCAAGTGCACATCGCATCCAGGATTGATTGATGGATAATAAACATGTTGTTGGATATGTCAACAAGGAATGTAAACACGTGGTGGTAACGTGCCTATCCCACTTAAATAAACGACGTCAGCACGGTCTCGAAATAGCCTAAATATCGCGAATCGTTGTTAATTCGCTCCCCAATTTTAGATCCATCAGGATTTCAACACCCTCACAGGCCTTTCCATAAGCATGAGCTGCTTCCTCTCCAACGATTTTAGCGAATTTCTTTGTTTTCTCCAGCTCACGGGTTAAAGATTTGTTTCTGGTTGACTGCCCAATCTAATAATGTTTCTTTAGAGAAGATTATAAGTTCAGGAACAGAGGTTGTATACCGTAATACTCTCGAGCGCCAATGTGGGTTACGGTATACATCGTATGTTCTTAAACTTATAACCTTGTGTTTCTTAAGCAATCCTCAAGCAACGCTGTGTATTTGAAGGCGCTCATATCGTTGGGGGGGGGGGACATTTAAGTGAGCCATTAACACCACTTTTGACTAAGTAAGTTTAGGAAGGGAAAACGAATTTTGATGGAGGATTTGAGCGAGGGGGTCTCCCCCGCAGCCGAGCGCCCATTTGTGACATAGATTATACGAGCTTAGCGCTGTTCTTTACGAGCTCGCGTACCTTTCCAACGTTGAAAGAATAGCTCTCGAAGATTGTCGTGCACATAACCCGATCCATTGGAAAGAAGCTGAAAAGGCACCGAATTAGAAAACAGTGCACAATTGTTAAGTTTTTTTTTCAATCCATCAAATTCATTTCCTGCCCTTCCCATCCCGGTCGTAACTCGTCCAAAATGGAGGAGTGAATTAGGGTAACCAATCACGGACTTTTGACGACTTTCTCTGCACTGGTGCCAACAACTTAGAGACCGTCACCCCCACGAATTCCGCCCAAAACCCATCTGGGATAGTCATAATCATTGCCTCAAATACTGCTAAAACCTTGCGCACCCTATAATCCAACCCCGTCCCTCAACTGCTAAGTATATGGAGGATTAGGGGTGACGATCGAAGAGCTCCGTCAGTCACTTTATGTCCGGACAAGCGTGAGCTATCGCAATATGCGGGGACATTGTTGTAGCAACGCATTCGAACATCGCCTTTTTTCTTAAAAAAAAAGGCAGGGTTGGGAGAGCGTCCGAGTGTGAACATTTTTATGTTAAACCAACAATTCTGCCCCCTAGCTATAATCTAGAGAATTGGTTCCCCGTATCTTGCGATAGCGCCGACAAGCGTATCATTCTGTCGTAGAATTCCACTTCCCCGTTACTTGATACAAGGGAATGTGATGTTTTCGATGTCGGATTTCCACAACTTGTGTTCCACCTTTGACTGACAAGTTAGCGCAATGAGCGCATCGAATTTCATGTGAAATCCGAGAAGAACACGGGGTTTTGCAGATGTTCACGCTCGGACAAGTGTAAGACTAGAAGGTCGGCATTTTGCGCATTCTACCGAACCAAGTTGAACTAAAACTCCAAAACTTTTGCCTCCAGCATATCGCTCTGGAAGACAATTTCGTCGCAGCTTCAGAGCCTCGCACTCGAATTTAAGGGCGAAATTTGAATTGCAGAGTTCAAAAAGAGCTTAACTCCCCAAATAAGGAAGCATCAGTATGACCTTCAAATTCCATGGGAACGGTTCACGTTAGGGAGTTGTTCGAATGAGCGTTTGTATTTCCGCAACAACTACGCTATACGCAAAATACAATATATCCCCAGGTACCTAGTAAACCGCTCAATTGATCGCAATATTCATGGTTCCTTCAATCCAGACATAGCGTGAAGGATATCAGTTCTCCCATCAAGTAAGGTCATCCTTCCGATAGAACACCTCTGATTTCCCCGCGTAGCGAGATCGGTTCTGAGGCCGTCAGCTGAAGCTTTAGGCTTCAATTAAAGCCGTTGATTCCGTATTGATGCGACTCCCATATACAACAACTACGCCATACGCATCGGTGCTGCCCTCTTCAACGCTGGGCTCTCCCTGCTGAACGACTAGAGTTGGACGGCGGGAGCTAGCTGTACTTCCCTTTCATCAGCCTCCTGGAACCTCTTTAAGGGATTTCGTTTCACATTTTAATGTTCCATTCCTTCCAGCTCCCTTCACTACTGCAAACCAATAAATGAGGTCAGCAAACCAGCCCTTTTGGCGTTTCTGCTGGGCGCCGTATGCTGAATGCTGGGGAGGGGATGGGGTCCCCAAGTCGACGGACTACTTGAACTCGGTCGGTACGGTAGGAGAGTGATGACGAAGTGGTGCAGCTAAGTCTGGCAGCTCCGCCAAAAGGGCTGGTTGGCTTACTTCCCAACAAATAACATTATGGGAACAGCTATTGAAAACCGACCTGAAGTCCATTTCGCATGGAGACTCGACAACGATTCTGAAAAGAAATATTTCGAAGCACCTTGACAAATAGTTCTAACAGGTGAACATTTTTGACTTCGGAGAGCAGATACCCATACTCTCTTGTTCCGAAGATAAGGCAAGTGTCCAGAAAAATTGTCGTACCGGTAATTCATCCATACAGTTCCATTTGGAAAAATCGCCAAGAAAATATTTGGCGTTGGGCTTTTGTGAATTACCGAACCTGAACGGTTTAGATTATGAAGGCTTACGTGTTGAAAGGCATCCACAACACTCAGGAAGGTTGCAAATAAGCGCAGATGAATGCAGTGCGGGTTTAGGTGGTGCAGAGGCAGGTGGCGCCTTTACCGACTGCACCGTCGAGGTGTCGAATCTAGGATTGAAAATCGCCAACAGCGAACCTTTCATGCCTTTCGGGTGCGTGAACTTATACCAAGCTCTCCAGAAAATAAACACACTGACTTCCACATCGAATGGCTCCCGAAATTCATTGTATAGAGGCGTAATTGCATTCTAATAAACAAGGGATAAGCTTTAGCTTTATTGATCCCTTTTTGGGATCCGGCCACGCATTCTACTTCCATTTGTACATTCGTAGTGGCATTTGAATGCGATGTGGCCTATACAATGACTTGCGGGGGCCAGCCGATGTACAAGTCAGTGTTTTTATCCTCCCAGACAAGTCTGGTACCAATTCGACCCCGGAGGGATGGAAGGCTTGGTTGGCCCGGGCGACTCACGACCCAGGATTAGAACCCCAGACCGAGCGCGTGGTGAACAGCGCCCTTACTACTTTGTCATTTCCTTCCTCTAAAAATGCACTCAAGTACACTACGATATACTACGTCTCTCTTGTTTTCTTGCTGTTTCTCCGCTTCATTCAAAATTGTTGGCGCTCTTGCAATATACGGGGGCATTGTGGTAGCAGTGCGTTAAGGACCGTGTGGAATGTGTCCTTTTTGTTAAGATCGAAACTAAGCCTTATGGTTAGACGGGGGAGGAGGGAGTCCAACATGCGTGAGACATTTTCATTTTCCCCAACCTTGCCTGTGTCCTTCCAGGTTTCGTCCTAGAGCGTGCCCCCGTATATTGCGATAGCTCCAAATTGTTTATTACACAAATGTAAAACGGCACACCTTTGCTGTTCACTATACAGACGTTTGGCAGCCAAATATTGTCGACCATTCGATGAGACAGCGAAAGATTTGTCAGGCATTGAGCTCCTTCTTCATGCTGAAAATACGCTCAAATCTTGAAGGCTAGGTGCGATTGGTGGTTTTTCGACTGGTCCTTCCACAACATATGGAACTCGATATCGAACCATTGATTCAAACATTTCTTATATTGTGCAAAAAAAGCACCACAGAAGCTATAGAATGTTGTAAACCCTGTAGAGCCTCTTCTCTAGGTGAGAGGCGAGGAGATTTCTAAGCCCCAAATTTGAATTTCCGGCTTGCACCGCTGTGAAGTAGAACGAATCAGTGAAGCGTGCTGGGTCACC